GTTACGATTATTATTATTACTTTTTGAATCATAAAACTAAGGTCTAAGAGAAATAAAAAAGACGAATCACGAGTTTAAGTGCTTCAAGTTCAAAGCAAAACTAGAACTAAAAAAAAGGAGGGGAAAAACACTCTTTTTATTGCGAGTAACAGTGCTTATTGAAGCTCTTTCGCCAAGGAAATAAAAAATCCACAATTTATATGCATCACAATTAAAGCAAATCTGAAATTTTAAACCATATATACCAACTACATATACCATATTACCAATTTATCTGGCCCTTATAACGGACAAATAAAATATTTTAAAAGTTGGCAAACTTTTTAAAAGTAGCCATTTTGGCTGGAGTTTGGCTTTTTAGATAGAAGAAAATTATCAAAATCAATGAATAAATATAAATTTCTGCAAATAATGCTACGTTGGAGTAGCTTTATGAATATTAAAAAATTTGATCATAAACGTTTTTCATCATCACAAAACTATGGCTTTTATTCATATTGATGTTTGGCACCATTTTCAGAATTAGAATAGACAGTGCCGGCTAAAAATAAGCTAAACATGAACCAAACAGTCATGAATAACTGTTTCAAACTCAGAAGTGTTCTGAAAATAGTATAAAACTACTACTAATCTCAGTGGCGCGACAGCCCAAAAAAGGGCCAAGGCCTACTGTAACCATCTCAGTTTTCTTGATCTTTGGGCTGTGGAGAGCAGATATGGTGGTCAGCCCAATGCGGAACGACCAGTGTTTAGCTCCCAAGCATGCGCTTGGTACTCATTTTATCGACCCACTGAAGGGATGAAAAGCTAAGTCAACCTTGCCCGGCCCAAGGATCGAACCAGGGATCTGTGGCACGACAGCGCGAAGCGCAACCCTCAGCCACAGCGCATCATGAAAATAGTATATTTCTTGGAAAAAAAATATGTTAATTTATATATACCATAAAGAGAGAGCTAGTAGCTAATAGTAGCCTTTATAAATTATTAAAAAGAAAAGATCACAAATGCTTTTCACTCTTACAAAGCTGAAAGCTTTCTTCGTACATTGATATTTTCGTACCATTTTCAGTTTCAGCATTGAAGGCATTGGCAAAAAGTGGACAAAACCTAACCTAACAGTCATAAATAACTGTTACAAATTCATAATAAATAAATGGCATATTATTCGCTATTTTTAACCAACGTTCACTAAACTAATTCTAAAAACGGTACGAAATATCAATACGAAGAAAAGTTTCAGTTTTGTGAAAATGTGACTGATAATTTTGCGAAAATACGACTGAAAATGCTTGTGACTGATTTTTTTTAGTATTTAAAAAAGAATCCCGGTGGCTCAGGGGATAGAGAGTTCGCCTTCCAGTTAGGTGACCCAGGCTCGAATCCCAGCGGCGGCTGGTTGATACTAATTCTGCTCCAACCACAGTGCATACGTGAAATATCCTCAGTGGTAGACGGATTATGGGTTGGAATCCTCTTGACATCGGGCTAACCATGCGTGGTTTTCCTCTTCATATAACACAATTGCTGGTTTGTTTCATCAAAAAGACCTCCCGAAGGCCAGTTTGTGCCGATGTTGGACCTATGATTTCCCTTGTCTTCTGGGATGGGTTGGGTTCAAAATTATAATTTTACGGTGTTGAACAAGTTGTAAACTCAGAATAT